AGTGCACTGTGGGCAGGAAAAAAAATCCCTTTCAGTCCAATACACTCCAAATCCCCTACTGCAGCCATCATGGAACCTGGGCTCACAGATCCAGCCAGGGTAGAGGTGGTGGGCAAACAGCAGCCTCAACCAACCCTGAAGCTGCCACGTTTCTCCTTCCCCAGCAGGGCCTCAGGGTGGTGAGGATCACTGACCACCAGAGAGGCAGGAGACAGAGCACCTTGGAAAGCACTCCATACAGAGAGCAAACTCCCATTCCTACTCTCACAGCAAGGGATGGGCTACACCACTCAGGGGAGGTGGGGGAGTCTCCGAGAGGGTGCCAGGCAGCTCCCCAGAAAGTCTAGGGTGGTGTTCTATCTTTCTCTGGGACAGGTACCCCAAGTCAGTCCCCATCAGAAACAAAACAGGAAGGAAAAGGTGAGGAGAGATTAAGACGACTGTGAGCTGTTGCCCTGGGAAACTGTGGCAGGCCTTTGCAACTCCAACTTGAAGGAGATGAAACAGGCACAGCCCCAGAGTCAGCTCATTTCTAACCTGGCTGCCTCCTCTGTAGGCTCTAGTCTAGTCCTCGCTTCCTCCAGGAAGTTTCCTGCCACCTTCCAAGGGCCTCCTTGGCTAACTTCTCCCTATGAAGGAGATACTGGCTTCACTTCTCATGTAGGGGATACTGGGAGGTTTTGATATTCTGACCAAGTTCCTATAGGAATCCCATACTCAGATCACAGGGCAACACCTTCAGGAACAAACGGAAAACCATTAAAAAGAGAAAGATAAAAACAAAAACAAAAACTGCTTCCATCTAGCTCACCACCCTCACAATACAATAAACACAAAAATGAAAATAAACACCTGCTTTTATCATCCCCTGCTCTGTGGCTAGTCGGTTCACATATTTTTTTTTTCTGCCTTTCTTAGTGGGGTAAACCAAACCATTTCCACCTGGAATTTTACACTACTGTACAGCTTCCACTGGCTCCTTATACAGTGGGAGATAGCCCTCAGCTTATCAAACTCCACATCTCACAATGCACTCTCCCCATACCCGAGCTACCTACTGTCATCAATGCCAACCACAGCAAAAAGGGGCTTAACAAACAGTTTAACAAAATCTGAACATTCAGCGGGAGCTGGTTCTGTGACATCTGCTGGGTTCTCCTGGCTTGTCCAAAAGAGGCACAGCTTGGGGCAGCTTGGACCCAGCTTGAGTCTGAACTTGGCAGATTCCCTAGGTCTGTCTAAGCCCAGGGGTCCCGGGGATCTCTGGAGCCACAGCACCAACACACCGTATCTGTCTGGCTCTTGGTCTACTCAGAGCCCTGAAGGAACAACAACCATCAGCAGAGGACTGGCCCCCTTCACAGGGTAGCGACAGCAGCTGCTGTCTTTCTGAAGACCTCTGGACAGAGCGGATCTCAAATGCCTGGTGGTGATCCGTAGAAGCCCTCTGTGTGAAAGAGAAGTGAACCAGGACCAGGACCGCTGCCCCGAGCCTTGAGCTACCCAGTAGCAGGTGCTTCATTGGGATTTTCTGAGACAGGGTGCTGGTGGTCCTGCTGCCTCTGTTAGCCCCAACTCAGCGGCCCACTGCAGCCACCTCCACCAGGGACTGGAAGCTTCTGAAGACCTCCTCGTCCTGCTCTGGATGTGGGCGTGGTGAGGTGAAGAGTCTACGGTGGGGTTTGCAGCCTCAGCCCTGGTCAGCAGGGTCAGTGTGCTGCCAGGGGTCATCGGGACCGTGGGGGCGCCAGCTCTCCTTGTGCACCTGAGTGGAGCACGACAAAGGGGAGGTCGTTGGTGAGGGAGACCTGGTACAGACACTGCCAGCACCGAGGGGCTGCTGCCCCTGGGGACAGCCCCGTCCGAGGCCTTACCTCCACGGCAGGAAATGGTGAGCTGATTAGGGTCATACCGTCTTTCAGGGGCATGTCTGCGAGAAGACAACACAGGGCGTGGTGAATTAGCTACATATCTGCAGCACTTAGAGGAGTTGTTCATTGTGGCTGCACGGGGACAGCCAGTCCCGAAGGATCTTTGCAGACTCCTTGAGCAGGTGCCTTCTGTGCTTCCTCTGGCAGGTCCGTGACCTTTATCCTCACCTAGATCACTGTCCAATTCCCACCAAGAGCCTGGAGGTTAGGCTGGACCTCCGTGGAGCGTGTCCTTCCCTGGGCATGAAAAAGTTTGGTTCCCACCCCTTTCTGTAGTACTCAGTGCAGGGTGACTCTTGGGGTGGGGACACAAAGAGACTTTTATTTTTATTAATTACTGGTCATTTTAAACCATTCGTTTCAGGACTATCAGATGCTAGCTCAGTTATACATGAAAATCCCAATTCATTAAAAAAAAAAATCCCAAGATGAATATAAATAAGATTATATCACTTTCTATATTTCATTTTATTTATTTATTTATTTATTTATTTATTTATTTCTTGGTCTTTTTGAGACAGGGTCTTCCTATAGCCCCAGCTGTCCAGGAACTCACTATGTGGACCAGCCTGGCCTTGAACGCACAGAGATCCCTCTGCTTCTGTCTCTGCCCCTGCCCCTGCCCCTGCCCTTACCTCCTGATCAGGGCTGGGATTAAAGGCCTGCACCACAGCCAGGCCACTTTCTATATTTTAATAAGGTACTCAAGTAGGAGTGTGAAATTCTTGCTGTCTAGGATGAGACAGGCAGATGACTGTATAAATGTGCAGTCCTGGTTCTTAAATCTAGTCCACTGTACAAACTTGACTTTTGCCAGGGTTTACTCATTCTCTCCATCTCTCTCCTGAAAAGGTAAGAATCAGCCCAGAGTGGTGGTACAAGCTTGCAGTCTCAGCACTTGGGAGGTGGAGGCAGGAGGTGGAGGCAGGAGGTGGAGGCAGGAGGTGGAGGCAGGAGGTGGAGGCAGGAAGATTGCCAAGTGAAGGCCAGCACTGGCTACATACACAGTTCCAGGCCTGCCTGAGGTGCATGAGGAGGTACTGGGGGTGGGGAGGGAGGGATCACCTCACACTCCAATTCTGTCTTCCTGTTTCCTTTCCTAGCTCTTTTCTGTCTCTCTAATCTTGCTTCCAGGGAACTTGAAATCTTTTAAGATTGTTCTTTAGAGCAACTTTATATACCATCTAAAGATGCCTTTTTTTTTTTTTCCTTGCTCTTTTTTGAGACAGGGTCTTTCTGGAGCCCCAGCTGGTTTAGAACTATGTAGACCAGGCTGGCCTTGAACTCGCAGAGATGCACCTGCCTCTGCTGGGATTAAAGGCATGAGTTACTACACCTGGTTTTAAGCTGGCTCTTAAGTTCAGACCGATACTTTTTTTTTTTTTTCGGTTCATAAACTTATTCTTGTCCACTTCAGACTGTGATCTGCACGAAGACTGAGGTAGAAACTGAAACTTGCTCCATGGGCTTCAAAAATCTGCTAGGCATTTACCAAGAAAGGCTGACAATGGCAAATACCCATAATGCTTATCTGTGAAGCATCACTGAAGGGTGAATGATTGGTAGGAACGACATAATGAGGATAGAGTAAGACCTGGTCTCTAAACTCCTCAGGAGGACATAATGGTAACAGACAGTTACTGTCACACCTAGCCTGGTCTCCATCCATTAACCCACACTTTGTACTGTTTACATCTCTCCCGTAAGGTGCTTGTATGTAGATGACTTAACGAATTATTTCTTTTGGAAGTCATCCAGTTGGGCACTGGCTTTCTTTTAACCAACAGGTTATTATGGTCACAGGTGTCCATGTTGTAGGGATTTTAAGACTGGATTCTGAGAAATCGCCACTCTTGGGCCTATACCAGTACCTGATGGATGACAGTTTGAGGTCTGGAGGCTGAAAATTCCATGCTAATATCACTATTTTCTGAACCTGTGTCCCATGGAAAGTCAGGAAGGTGGATTAAGTAGGTGACTTCACCTAGAATCACCTTTCCCCACCCTCGGAGCACTCTGAATTTTCCCCACGTTTCCACTACTCTTGGGAAAGACATATTGGGAGTCCCCCACCTCCAAGCATAGGTGGCCTGGGAAAAACTGGCTAAAGTTTCAATGACTGGCTTCCTTGCTACAGGCTACATAGACAGTTTCCTTTTTACTATATATTTCTAATAAGCACATCTGTAAACTTAACACTCATTAAATAAACAAATGGAATCCTGGAGCAAGTCCACTTGCTTAGTGCCAGCACTTCATTGAGTGGGAAATTTTAGTACATCTGATACCCTCCCCTCACTTCAACGGAGCCATAAGTGGTTGTGATGTACTTGATAGATCTGAAAAGTTGAGGATGGTGATTTTAAGTGTTGTGGCTGATATTATAAAGGCAGTTTGCCATTTTCATTAATTCTGGTATATTAAAAAAGTCTGCAGTATGGCCAGGGTCAGGTTCTCACCAGAGTCCTGGCTGGTCTGGAACTATGTAGACCACGCTGATGTCAGATGCAGACGTGCCAGCCCCTGCTGGGATTAGAGGCTTGAGCCACTATGGTCAGCTTCAGTACATTTTGAGTGCTTGTTCACTAATCTGTTCCAGACAATACTGTCCTTCTGATTGGCTTTTAGCTAACCTTACACAAACGCACAGGTACTCAGGGCACTTGCTGACTCTTCACAGGGTTTCAAAAGCATCAGATAGACACACTCAATTAAAGGCTATAGGTTACTGACACTTCCTTAGTCTTCATGGGATTGTATATGACAAAGTACTAGGAAACTGAGGGTCCCACGTGGGGATTTCCTTTCAGTCATGAACTTCACAAGCACTGGACTACAAAAATGACGCCCTTTAGATTGATTCTGAAACCTGGGTGGAACCGTTTGGCAGGATATGCAGAGAGCTCTGGTGGTGACTGACAGTACGTGCACATCCCAGACATTTGATTACATCACAAAAGCCCTAAGTAGGTTTAGCTTAAATTTCTGCTCAAAGCACTTAAGTGAGGACGCCCAATAGCAATGCAGAAAGGAGGGGATTTACTCCTTTAGGTTGACATTTTTCCCCAGCGCAGCATTAAAGCTCATTTTTCTGAGGTTCTGAGTGGCTCTGAAAAGAGCCTTTGGGTTCAGGGCGCTGCGCGCGCTCACTTGGAGCTGGTGTACTTGGTGACGGCCTTGGTGCCCTCGGACACGGCGTGCTTGGCCAGCTCCCCAGGCAGCAGCAGGCGCACGGCCGTCTGGATCTCCCGGGACGTGATGGTCGAGCGCTTGTTGTAGTGCGCCAGGCGCGACGCCTCGCCCGCGATGCGCTCGAAGATGTCGTTGACGAACGAGTTCATGATGCCCATGGCCTTGGACGAGATGCCCGTGTCGGGGTGCACCTGCTTCAGCACCTTGTACACGTACACCGAGTAGCTCTCCTTGCGGCTGCGCTTGCGCTTCTTGCCGTCCTTCTTCTGCGCCTTGGTCACCGCCTTCTTGGAGCCCTTCTTCGGGGCGGGCGCTGACTTCGCGGGATCCGGCATTGTAAGAACTTAGAGAAAACTGAAATGGAAACAAGTAGGCGAAAGCTGACCTACTTTTACAGAATTTCTATGCAAATGGAGTTAATCCTCTTTCAGTTCTGATTGGTTGAGATAAGCCAATAGAAGGAAGATATGCAAATAAGATGGCTTTAAAAAAAAAAAAATTTCAGACGTCCAGGTTAAAGGAAAACTTTTTTTTCCAAATCGCTATTTTTCAAAAGTTAATGCTTGCCAATAGTATCTATCGAGAGCTAAACAGAGATATGTAGAACTAAACCGACCCAAAATACAGATATTAACTTATAACCAGTTTCGTTCAAAGTGTTAATGGTTTTAAGGTGGTCTGTGGAAAATGTCTCCTTGGGCGAGAGAACAGAAATTACTCACCTAGATGCTTTTTTTTTTTTCCTTGACAAGGTCTCCCTGTTGCACTAGCTGGCCTGGAACTCACAGAGATACATCCGCCTGCCTCTGCCTCCCAAGTGCTGTTGTTAAAGGCGTGTGCCACCATGCCCGGCCTTCACCTAAATGATTCTTAAGTCATAAATGTAGATTCTGGTTAAAGGGGGGCAGCCCCTTTTTTTTCTAGCTGACGCTTTTGAAAGAATGAAAGAAACTCGCATTTTTCAACAACGGGTGCGGTTTTAATAATTCCTGGGCATAAATATCTAAGAATGATGCTCGTGCTTCTTGCCAGATCTTGCTGCCCAAGCTAAGGCATTTCACTACAAAGCCAGGCGCTGTGGGGCACCCCAGGAGTCCCCGCAGGAGGAGCTCCGAAAACTGACAACCAAGCTGGTCTATAAAGTGACAGGGCCAGTCAGGGCTCCGTGGCAAATCCCCGCCTCCAGTTGGCAGCGTCTATTTTATAAAAGAAAAGGTAGAACTCAGGTGAGCAATCAAGGTAAATGTGACATTCTTGAAATCGTTCAAGAATTGTCAGTCTACATTGTATCTCTTAACTCTACTTCGAGACGGAAAGCACAGCGGAAGTGGGGAGATACCATGTAACAAGAGAGCCAGCTACCAGGCAGTATACCACATTTCAATTGGTTACAAATTTAAATTGAAATCTGCTAGCCAATCACAACAAATTTCCGGCGACTTCAGTCTTGGCGCGGAATTTGAAGATTCTGACCAATCAGGAAGCCGTCGGCTTTATAAATAAGAAGAAGACCGAGTGTCTGTGCAGTTAGCGCTACGGTTTCACCATGGCTCGGACCAAGCAGACGGCCCGCAAGTCCACCGGCGGTAAGGCCCCGCGCAAGCAGCTGGCCACCAAGGCCGCCCGCAAGAGCGCGCCGGCCACCGGCGGCGTGAAGAAGCCGCACCGCTACCGGCCCGGCACCGTGGCGCTGCGCGAGATCCGGCGCTACCAGAAGTCCACCGAGCTGCTGATCCGCAAGCTGCCGTTCCAGCGCCTGGTGCGCGAGATCGCGCAGGACTTCAAGACCGACCTGCGCTTCCAGAGCTCGGCCGTGATGGCGCTGCAGGAGGCCAGCGAGGCCTACCTGGTGGGGCTGTTCGAGGACACCAACCTGTGCGCCATCCACGCCAAGCGCGTCACCATCATGCCCAAGGACATCCAGCTGGCGCGCCGCATCCGCGGCGAAAGGGCGTAAACCGAGACTGACGAGAGTGATCGCTGAACCCAAAGGCTCTTTTCAGAGCCACCTACACCTTTGAAAGCGTTGTACACTTAATTCTTCCATAGTGACTATTATGCTGTGGGTCACAAAACCTAGGGAACAGCTGGATGCCCTTCATCCCAATTAACCCTTGTTATCTCAGTTCAGGGTTCGAAGTCTTCACTCCACACCGCCAGCCTAGGCAAAGTCCTGAACTCAGTTGCGCTGTTACCCTGTTGCCAGTCCGCAGTATAAATTCTTGGATCCCGTCACCCTTATCAATTCTCTTGGTTCCAGTGATAAACTTGCTCTGGGGATTTTCAAGTTCTTGAAACCGATTAAAGCGATGATACGGTACAGCTCTCAGGCGGGATGGGCTCGCAGCTGCCGGAAATTTCATTTTCTCTGCTGCCTGGGTGCAAGCTCAAACCTGCTTTTCCCTCAGGTTACGGTGTTGCTTACAGTCCAGGTCTGAAGATGATTCAATCATGTACCGAGTGAATAATTCTTTACGAAGGTATGCGGGAGGGGCTAGATTTGAATATATCGTTTCTCATTTGGGTACCGAAACAAAGTGCATGCCTGTGTCATAGTTCTTCAAGGGACCGGAAGAAGGCGGGGATTCTTGTTCCCGCCCTTTCCTGTCTGCTTTCAATAAGGTCCGCAGCGATTATATATAAGGGCCAAAACTTTCTCTAAACTTTGCATTTTTTGTGTGTGCTTCAATATGTCTGGTCGAGGCAAGGGCGGTAAGGGCCTGGGGAAGGGCGGCGCCAAGCGCCATCGCAAAGTCCTGCGCGACAACATCCAGGGCATCACCAAGCCCGCCATCCGGCGCCTGGCCCGGCGCGGCGGCGTCAAGCGCATCTCCGGCCTCATCTATGAGGAGACCCGTGGGGTGCTGAAAGTCTTCCTGGAGAACGTGATCCGCGACGCCGTCACCTACACGGAGCACGCCAAGCGCAAGACCGTCACGGCCATGGATGTGGTCTATGCGCTCAAGCGCCAGGGCCGCACGCTCTACGGCTTCGGCGGCTAAATTTGCAGTCTTTTAGTCACGCACAAAGGCCCTTCTCAGGGCCACCTAAATGGTCAAAAAGAGCTTAATGCTTTTATGCAAAGTAAAATTGACGCATGCGAGGCTAACACCTGCAGTTTTGTGGATCACTAAAATGCGGAGAAACCAGAGGGCGGTGGAAACCGTCTTTTAACTCAAGTGATGCTTTTCGTTGCTTAAATGTAAGTCAGCATGCTTTGGAGATTGTGCTATGTCCAGGTTACCAGCCCACAGGCTGCCTCAGTGCTCGTTAACCTTATGTTACTAGTGGAAGATCAAGTGGAAGGGTTCTCTTGTAGTGCAGTCCTAGGACTAAACATTGGGACACGTTTGTTTTCTACTTACAGTTGTCAGCTGTAGGACGTAATTGTAAAAGGCTGCTGTATGTCCTGAGCATCCCGTCCTTTAATCTTTTAAGTACATCCTTAGGTCTCCTTACTAGGCTGATGATCAGTCTCTACTTGTCCTGTACGTGAGGATGTAAGTAGGTCACTTAGTCCAAGGTCTAAATACCCCAGGTTACCTCTTGACAGACACATGAGGACAACTTAGAAGTCCCTTATGAAGAGTAACTTAGACCTGTCATCCTAGAATAACAGGTTTTCCCTCCATGTAGAAGTTGTACTTCTAGTTAAAACTCCTGTCCTCTAACCTCTAAGGGTGTAACTACAGGAGTTACCTAAGAACCACTCCAGTCGTTGATCTGTTGGGTCCCAAAAAACATTAACAATGTGGCCACTGCCACTTCTGATCTGGTCACTCTTCCTAACTTAGCACGGTCAAGATCAGATTCTCACAAATCTTTCCCCTTGCTTTTGTAGATCCTACTTCAATGATTTTAAAGATGAGTTATCTCTTGCTTTGTTCATTCACAGTTCTGTGATTTGTCTCTCCACAGCATGCTGCTGGTGAGACATTCAGGCCCTGGCCTGGGAGAAAGTGTTGTCAGCCTTCCAACCCTATTAATCACTGCAATAAAGCAACCACATGTTTCAGGGCACCTCTGTCCTAAGCTCCACAAAATTACAATCAGTCTTCTCTATTGCAGTTTTGAGCAGCTCAAAAATGTTGATCACCTCTGTGCAAAAATAAAATAAGTCTTAACGGGTTCTCCTAGTATTTACAGAATAAAACCCCAAATTCCTCTTTTTTTTTGTCTGCAGCCTTCTTCCATAGCCTAACTGTATTCTGGACTTGACTGGAATGAGTAAGTCATATTTTTCAACTGAAATTGCCATCTGTATGTGTCGATCTGTCTGCATTCATGAGAACATAAACTTTGTGAGCCTAACCCTTTCTACCTGTACATTGGTTAAGGCCAGTCCCAAGCACAGAACCTAGTGCATGGTGGGTATTCAGGTCATCAGTGTGTACCAAATCAAAATAAAGGATGCAACTCTAGATAAGCCCAAACTGGTTTCCCTCTACATCTCTGCAATATAACAGTTAAATTGTGATCAAGTATTTGACCGAGTTTCCACATAGCATGGTAATTAAGAGCAAAACTTTGCTTTGAAAAAAAAACACTTTGCTTTTAAGAAAAAAAAAAAAAAAAAACTTAAAAAAATCCTATTAGTCCGATGGTCATGTCACACCTGCTACTACAAAGTTAATTCTGAGTTTCTGTTTACAAACTGCCCTCCTGGCTAACCCTCCTCAGTCTTGCCTTCTTCTGTTTTCGACCTGCAGAACATTAAACTACTTGCCATCCTTTGTATCCTAATCTGCAGCCTTGCTTACCTTTGTCTGAACACTGCCTGAAATGCCCTTGCATTTCAGCCCACTTTAGATTCAGGACCCAGAGCCAGATCACACATGCATTATCCTATGGAGCCAGGACCATGTTGCTCCTAGCTCCTTCCTCCAGACAGGCCTTCATATTCACCTGTTCAGAGGACCTCTTGGAATTCCTAACACAATTTTGTCAGCTGTTTTATTTTCCCAAAAATGTTTTTAAAAAACACAGTGAAATCAGGTGAGAAGTGATTTAATCATGTTCCATGTGGATTCAACTATACTGAGATGGAATCTTGATACAATTATACAATAGTGTGTGTGTTATCTTGAAGCATTTGAAAATATTTTCAGAGGACATCAAAAAGCTTCACCTCTGAATACTTGCAAATGCAACTCTCAAGAATAAGAGAATTTTACCATATATTTAAAAAGGTTGAAAACAAAAGGTCACCAAAGTGATCTGCCGTCCAGTCCATGTTTTCTGTTGCCTTCACATACTCTAGAGTCAGAATACATCTGGATATGTTTAGTTTCTCTTTCCTTCTTTCTTTTTCTTTCTTACCTTTTAATCTTTTTGAGACAGGGTCTCCCTGTAGCCCCAGATGGCCTGGAACTCAAGATGTAGACCAGGCTGGCTTTCAGTCTGCCTCTGCCTCCTGAGTGAGTGCTAGGAAGCCACACCTGGTTTGTCTCTTTAGTCTCTTAAGGTTGAACTTCATTTTTTTTGGACTGGGTCTCATGCAGCCTATGTTGTCCATGAAGTATTTAATTGAAATTGACCTTGAATTCCTGATCTTGCTCCCAAGTACGGGATTTTAAAAAGCTCCAAGTCCCAAATGAACCCTGTGGGGATTATGTTAATCAGTGAGCTAGAAGCCTACCCCTACATTGGATGTCAAGTGCATTCCACGTTCTGATCTTTGTTCATGTACAACGGTTCCTCTATTCCTCGAATTCTTTGTCAGCACCGATTCCAGTGAGTCCAGTTGAGAAAGGTGAGGGCATTTAATCATCAAATTTAGCGGGTTTTAGTGGTGCCAAAGTATGCCATTCTGGGACAATGAGAAAAACCGCATTTGGGGAACTGCCGTTTATACTGGGTACTTGCTACCACGTACACTGCTTACTAACTTAAGACTTGAAAATTCTTATACTTAGTATATTAACACAGCGCTGGGGAAACATTCCCAGACTTAACTACTGTCTGTGGTTGTACGGGATACATATCCGCAGCACCCAGATGCAACACTCCCGTTGAGCACAAGTAACCATAGCAACAAGCCCTTAGTGTAAGCTCCTCTCAAGAAAAAATAGGTGGCCCTGAGAAGGGCCTTTATGTGCCGCTACACGTCTGTCTTAACCTCCAAAGCCGTAGAGCGTGCGGCCCTGGCGCTTGAGCGCGTAGACCACATCCATGGCCGTGACGGTCTTGCGCTTGGCGTGCTCCGTGTAGGTGACGGCGTCGCGGATCACGTTCTCCAGGAAGACTTTCAGCACCCCGCGGGTCTCCTCGTAGATGAGGCCGGAGATGCGCTTGACGCCGCCGCGCCGGGCCAGACGCCGAATGGCGGGCTTGGTGATGCCCTGGATGTTGTCGCGCAGGACTTTGCGGTGGCGCTTGGCGCCGCCCTTGCCCAGGCCCTTCCCGCCCTTGCCGCGTCCAGACATAACGAAGAGAACTCACTCAGTAGTTCAAACACCCTTTACGGCCACTATTTATATGAGCAATGCGGACCTTTTAGGAAACTGAAAAGGCGCGCGCGGGAAGGCGCTGACCCCGCCTCTCCACCTTGCCTGGGGAAAGGCAGAGGGAGGGGACTTCTGGTCTTCTGGTCTTGTTTTCCTGCATGGTTCTGACAGCCCGTATTCTGCAATTCCCCTAATCACTCTTAAAATTTGTAAAAAAATGGGTGGGTGTAGTCCTCCCCTTCTGTACAAACCAAGATAGCTACACCACAATACAATGAAGATTTAGTTTTAAGGACGAGGCCCTTCTCGATTTTTACAACCATTAAATCTGACCTGTCATGAGGTTCTTCATCTCTGTTAAGGGAGCCAGTGTTGGTTGAACGCTGTTTCCCAAATTATGAGATGCTGGTTATATTGGAAAGATGACTCGCCCATACTTGAGTTCAGATACTCTTAGTAAGAGGTATTGCTGTGGCCAATGCCTGGTCTCATGATCTGGCTGCCCACCAGTGTGTCAGTGCCAGGGGGACAGTAGCATAGCTAATTCGCTAATTCATTAGATAGACAAAAAGCAACACGTTCTGTGTCCTATTCTCCTAATAAGGTCCTGACGGAGTTTTACTCCCGGACGTTGGCTTCGTGTCTTTGGTAGATGATTCTCAATGTCTGCACATATGCTTGACACATCTCTGCACACTACCAAGGACATTTTCCTCACCATTTACTGTTTCTTCCCTTCCTCCCACTTTCCCTTCCCCTTCTTTTCCTTTCCTTCCCTTCCCCTCCTCTCCCTCCCCCTCCCCTCCCCCCTTTTCTTTTTTCTTTGCAACCTGGTCTTACATTGGAGCCCAGTTTGTCCTGACCATATGCTTTTTACTCCAGGATGGAGAACTGGAGGTAATCATCCTTCCTTAACCTCCCTAATGTTGCCATCAGCGTTCTATGCCACCATCATCATCCTTGATTAAAGAGGTAATTTTGAAAAATCTGCTTTTGGTAGTGGTTGCCAGAGCTATTACTACAGTGATGGAAAAGAAAAATATTCTTTCCCTGCACTGACCTGGGAATTAGCTCATCAGCTAACACTGAGAAGTTCATGCCCCTCCTGTCCACGAAGGACAGTTAAGCATCACCGTTTCCTGCCATTCAAGAAAAATGTCAGGGCCTACTGTGTGCCCAAATGACACAAATGCTGTGCAATGCCACATTTATAAGCATACTCGCATCCCTTTTCTCTTTTCCTAAAGACCTCAAAGTCTACTTAAAGGAAAACTCAAGTCCTTGTGAGGCTCTGTCTCCTCCTCAGCATGTTCCAAGCTCCTGCTTGTGCCTGCGTGAAGCAGCTGCACCCTGAGAAAGGGCCTTCACGGCATCGAGGATTTAGAATATTTCTCAATTATAATAGAAGCTCTTCAGCCCCCACATGTAACAGATATTTCAGATGACGGACACATGAAAAAGGGAAATTGGATATTTGGGAGCCCAGTGCCCATGTTAGGAAATCAAATCAGTGCACCCTAGCTGTGCTTGATGGGAGTTTATGTGGTGTCCTCATGCTGTTTCACCCAGGAGAGAAGAAAACAGGTGGACTTGCTTTTGCATAGGCTTGAACACTACTAATTTTACAAAGCTGCCTTCTCTCTAGTCTGGGCTTTGTTATCATTGTTAGGACTATTATTATTATTTTATTTTTGATACTTAGTCTATGTAACCAGTTTTCCTGTAGCTTTTGAAAGTTTATAGGTTTTAGAATCACTAAGAACATGTTCTGTGGTATAATTTATAATGCCTTTATCACTCAGATGTTTACTATGGTAATAGTGTGGTGTCTAACACAAAACTGAAACCATAAGTTACATGGCTATCTTACTTTTTATTGATTTTAACATATAGAAAATAAATAGTTCAACCCTTAGTGTAGTGGAAATTTTGCTGTTTCAGGATATGTGAAAATTTCTGATTCAATAGTAAAAAATCTGTTTATTTGAGACACGGTCTCCTTTCCCAGTTGGTCTGGGACTCGCTAGGTAGACCTGGCTGGTCTTGATTTCACAGAGATCCTTCTGCTTCTGTCTCCCAGTGCTGGGAATAAAGATGTGTGCCACCACACCTGGCTCTAAAAACACATTTTTGATGGTCACTGTACCAAGCAAGTAAGCGGAGCTTTTCATGAAGTTCAGGTTTAGTCCCATGGCTGATCCAAGTTTTAGAAGCCTTGTCCTCAGTTCAGTCGCACAGATGATCCCAAGCAGTAGGACCGTAGCTATATGCAGCCGGTACCCTTTTCCTGCGAACACACGAACAAGTATTTTCCTGATGAAATCGAGTCTTACTTATTGTCCTCCATGCAAAAAGGCAGAAATTGCCAAAAAAATTAGGAAATGGCACTCGAGAGTTCCAATGCCCTTTCATTTATTGGGAGCTTCAATAGCTGTAGTACCAGTCAGACTATAAGAATGAAGTGGTGACATCTGATAACTGAATAACTGTAAGTTGGCCAATACCAGCTAGTACTTAGCAACTGCTACTGTGATTACAGAGATGACCAAAGTTCTAAAGGTTTTTTTTTTAGGGGGGGGTCTTTTTGAGACAGGGTCTCCCTGTAGCTTCAGGTGGCCTGGAGCTTGCTGTAGAGACCAGGCTGGCCTTGAACTCACAGATCCACCTGTCTCTGCACTCGGAGTGAGGGGATTAAAGGCGTGCACCACCATACCCCACTCAAGGTTCTAAAGTTTTTAAAATCAGAATTTTAATTTTATCTATAGCTTTGAAAAAATAAAAAGTGATGTATGCTACTGGAAAAGGGCACCTGAGTTGCCTGTGATCACTGCTGTAGAGAGAGGTCTTACATGATGACAAGCGCTCCTCTCTCTGCACACTGATGAAACGCTCTTCAGGGAAGCATGACTGCCTGGCATTAAATCCAGTTAAATGAACAACTTTGGGCCTAGTGTTTCTATTTTAGTAGCTTGCATTATAACATGCTATTGTATCCAAGAGACTTGGTTCTGGTTAGTACCACCCAATAAATGATCATTTTAAAGCATGCCAAGTTATTTGTATGGAATTAACTCAGTATGGCTAGAAGATGTCTTAGTCATCCAAGTGTAGGCCAGCATGAGTAGATTGAGTGACTATAAGGACTAGAAAAAGAAATATAACCCTCAAATCTTTTGTTTATTTATTTAACAAGATTGGGCCTTCGGTGTAGTGCCTGATTATTTGATGGGGAATATTTTTTTATGCTTCATTATTCAACAATAATTATATCAGCTTCACTGCAATGAAAACCCAGAAATGGAGTCTTTAAAGTCACATATATTGCCTCTGAAATAGTTAAAGTCCTCGGGTAGACACATCCAGCTAACGATCTGAGCTTTGGACAGACTGTATTGTATGTGTTAAAAGATCAGTGTCAACTATAAAAATTCAGAAACTATTTTTTTTCTTTCCAATACTGCTTATCTTTGAGATACTGAAGTTGAAAATATTTTAAAATATAAGAAATCTGTGTAAAATGTTTTAAGAACTGGAGGGAAGTTTCATAACCATGTCATCATGTATGTATGTGTGCTATGACAAAGGAGTGTTTGAGTCCAGCTCAGACCCCACTGTTCTTCAGCTAAAAGATGGTAAAATTCTTAGACGTGCCAATGAATTTCTTTGTGACTCAGTTTTCTTTTTTTAGTAATTGGTGCAGTTGGGTCTTCAGTGTTCATACTGTCTGAGAACGTGTGCTTACAGCTTTGATCGCGAAGAGGGATGTTGCAGCCCCCTCCCACCTCCAGAAAATGGTTAAAACACTAAAACATGGCAACCAACGCACCTTACACACTGATCCCTCAAATACCTGAAAAAGCAATTGATCTTTTCTGAAATAATCATCCCTCCGGCACATAGAACTTTGTCTTCTAGTGCCAATTCCTAGAACTTGATGCAGACTGCTCGAGAGAGAAGCCTGTGCTAATGCTCCCGGGAAAAACTCGAATTTCCCTATACATTTCAGTCAAAATAAGTTCACTTATGTAATCTTGAAACCGTAAGAATGTGCACAGCCATGCCCTCGAAAGAGGATTTGCAATTGATGCCCACAGAAGGAGTATTTTTAACGAAAACCCGAAAGTTATCTCCATTTGAGAGAAGTTTCAAAGGGAGTTGGGGGAATCAGGCGAGTTTCAGGGTGCCGATTTTGCATGGAGTTGTAGGAAACAAGGCAAGAACGAAGCCCAAGGGTTCTCGGATCCATTTCCCCCAAGTCCCTGATTATTTCGTGCTCAAGTTTCTTATATTTTTATTCTTTTTTAAGGGGCAACAAACACAGTCACAGGGCAGAGCGGAGGAACCCTTTCCCAGCAGCGCGGCGCACTGCGCAGGGAACCAATCACCACGCAGCGTCTCTCTATATAAACCCAGAGCCCTCAGTGCTGGGGACAAGCAGCTCTGACAGTTTTAGCTTACTTTTGGCTTCTTTAGCTAAAGCGAAAACATGTCTGAGACCGCACCAGTGGCTCCTGCTGCGCCCGCCCCGGCGGAGAAAACACCTGTGAAGAAGAAGGCGAAGAAGGCGGGTGCTGCGGGAAAACGCAAGACGTCCGGGCCCCCGGTGTCCGAGCTCATCACCAAGGCCGTGGCCGCCTCCAAGGAGCGCAGCGGCGTGTCCCTGGCCGCGCTCAAGAAGGCGCTGGCGGCCGCGGGCTACGACGTGGAGAAGAACAACAGCCGCATCAAGCTGGGGCTCAAGAGCCTGGTGAGCAAGGGCACCCTGGTGCAGACCAAGGGCACCGGCGCCTCCGGCTCCTTCAAGCTCAACAAGAAGGCGGCGTCCGGCGAGGCCAAGCCCAAGGCCAAGAAGGCGGGCGCGGCCAAGGCCAAGAAGCCCGCCGGCGCGGCCAAGAAGCCCAAGAAGGCGACCGGGGCCGCCACGCCCAAGAAGGCCGCCAAGAAGACCCCGAAGAAGGCCAAGAAGCCCGCGGCCGCCGCAGGAGCCAAGAAAGCCAAGAGCCCCAAGAAGGCGAAGGTTGCCAAACCCAAGAAGGCCGCCAAGAGCCCCGCCAAGGCCAAGGCCCCCAAGGCTAAGGCCGCCAGGCCCAAGGCTGCTAAGCCTAAGGTGACCAAGGCGAAGAAGGCCGCTCCGCGCAAGAAGTAAATGGCGCGTCCTGCTTGGAAAATCTCAAACGGCTCTTTTCAGAGCCACCCACACTTCCCTCAAAAGAGCTGACTCTTTCCTAGTGTTTAGAACTAGTTGAGTGGCTGCTGGGTATTTCCTGCGTTTAAGCAGCATGGCCCGGGATCGCCTGCTCCAAGCATGGCTGGTCCCTTTAAGGTCTGACACTCCAGTTATGGGTCCTGCATCCCCACATTTTATGGATCCCGGTCCAATGTGCCTTGGGCAGCTGCTGTTTCCTAGCCATTGAGCGCCCTCCAGTTCCTAAGCTGGCAGTTTCTAGCGCTAACCAGTTTTTGTTTTTCGCGCCCAGGCGTGGCCACGCGGGCCCTTCCGTGAGCAAGCCAATCGAAGAACAAGGCCCCAAGCCACGGTTTGAGCCCGTACATTTCGCTTTCCCATTGGTCTACAGGCCTGTCGTTTGAGACTTTCCCAATCGAAGTATTCCTTCATTAATGGTAGTCGTACGCCAATCAGGGGTTGAGATACTAAAATGTACGTCATGTATATAACATCACGTAGATGGCGTTTCTGCGACTTCTCCCTGGGTCGGTGGAGTTCAGTTTAGCCGCTGTTTCCCGAGGCTGAGGAGGTCAACTTTGTAAGTATACCGGAAATCGGGTATCGAGGCTGTATGTTCCCGGCTCCTCCCACCATCTGCGTGTGTTTTCTAGACCAGCCACATTGTTCTTAAATTTTCATAGCATTAAGACCCTGTTACTAAGATACAGTAAATAGGTCCAGAGTTGTAGCATCATTGGCAGTTCATCACAGACCCTCTTTCCCACATTGCTCCTCGGCTTGTTCTGAGGACCCGGGAGGCCGGATTATCTGTTCTCCCATAAGCAGTGCTTAGGGCAGTAGAGACCAGGAAACAAGGAAAATCCATTTTCGAAAGCCTCCTGGGTTGCAAGTTTGCTTCTCAGAGTTAGAAAATCTGGGTGTTGCTATTTCCATTTCATCCATTTTGTGTGTGTGTGTGTGTGTGTGTGTGTGTGTGTGTGTGCGTGTGTAGGTCATAGAACAATTTTTGCAAGTTGGATCTTTCTATCTACCACGTAGTTAATGGATATTGAACCCAATAACGTAAGTATTCTACAGATAATTCTGGAGCTGCTGGGAGGAAGTCACATTTAAAATCCCTTTCCATTTCGCTTATTTTGTGTCTGTACTGGCAAGCGTGTGCAGAGATCCAGGACGCCTTCCATTAGTGGTGTGTTTTTCCTTCCAGGGATAGACCACTTGCTGTCAGGCTTGGTGCTTTGCTCCTTTACCCACATGGATTCTTACAAACCTAACTTGCTATCAAAGGACTTTCCTTAAGAGAATAAAATTTTCTAGAGAAAACCAAAATCCCTTTCTGAGAGAGCAATTTGGTTGAATTGATTTGGATACACGGAGAATTATATATAAAAAAGTCTTTTTTAAATTGAAAGATTGAAGTACGGCGATAGGAGCAATAAAGGTCTCGGTCTCGGTCTCGAGGTGTCAGAATATCTGGGATCAGAACTTCTTAAGGAATAGAGGTCACATTTAGAGGAGTCACAATAATTGTGACAGAAAGTACTTAATAGAGCTGCTTCCTCTGGGTGTCTCCATATAATACTGTCATCAGGCATGGTTAAAATATTTTAGAATCATGAATGTTGTGGGCATGAACTGGTTGCCCGGGAGATGACCACGCTCTGCTAAAATTCTCCATGGCTGACTGATTAAAATTCTTTTCCACGGCTTGGAATGGTACAAGTTTCCCTGGGCAACTTTTAATCCCTTTGCCAACTGCTCCTTTACCTACCTGTGGGCCTGACCTAACTTCCTCGTGACTATCATTGGGTTTTTCAAGTTAAACATTCCAAAATTTGTATTTACAAAGTCAAGAGCTAAGAACGTCATCAGATAGCATTTGTAACAGGCTTGTTTCCTGGGTTTGCTCTAATCTGCCTACCTAGTGTTTGTACCAAGGCAGCTAAAAAACTATCTACAGAGACAGTCTCTCTGTAGGCCCAGCTGGCTTGAACTTGCTTTGTAGGCCAGGCTGGCCTGGCCTTGAACTCATAGAGATCTGCTTGCCTCTGTCTGCTGAGTGCTGGGACTAAAGGTGCGTGCCACTGTGTCCGGCTAAAAGTGCTTTGTTTTATGATTGCCCTCTGTTCTCTATAAAATATTCGTGAAATCATTACAGGTTTGGAACATGGTACTTGGGGTAACCTGAGGTCGGGCTCCCAGGCCATGGTCACTCAGATTGGATCCAGAATAAACTTTCTCTTTTAGGTGACAGCTATGTTTTTCTGCTCTCAACATGGCGCAGAGAGATGCCCTGACTGAAAAGGACAAGCAGTGTTCTTGGTCCTTTCTGTCGCCCTCCCAATTTGAATTCCCATCTGTTTTGGAAGGTAAGTAGAGTGCTAGGCTTGAGGAAAAAGATGCAGAATTTGTTCTGTCTTAGGCACTCTGTGTGCTGTTCAGTTTGTAAGACTTTGGAGTTTAGCACAGGGCATTAACGTCAGGATTCAGTTTGGAGAGTTTTGCCCTGGTTCTCGTCATCTTCTGTTCATGTTCCTATTTCTTGGACAAGTGGTCCATTCAAGAGTCTGTGAACTTGTTTAAATCTTCCATTTCTGTAAATATTTGTTGCATTCAGATTCTTACTTTGGGTGAGTAAAGACTAATGAAGATCATGCTCTGATCACCTAAGTGGAAGACCTTTTGGCATATGGTGTAGGTCAGTCTGTGACAAAAGTAATCCAAAAATTTAAAAAAATTTATGTGTATGAGTGTTTTGTTTGCATGTATGTAAGTACACCATGTGTGCTGTGCCTGTGGAGGTCAGAAGGGGGCACCAGATCCCCTGAAAATAGAGTTCTGGATGGTTGTTATCCGCCATTGTGGGTGCTAGGAACCAAACCCAGGCCCTCTGCAAGATTAGCCAGTGCCCTTAACTGCTAAGCCATCTCTCCAGCCCCCCCAAAACTAATTTTCAAGACCTTTGAATTATAAGAGGCTAGCCAAGGTAATCTTACTCAGGAAGCCTGTTATAACTGTCACTCAAAAATGAGGTTGTAGCATAGCACACTGATAACTCACCTATAATTCAGGCCGTAGGGAGGCTGAAGTAGGGTGATCATTAATTTGAGGTCAGCCTGGGCTACACAGACTATTCGATGATTTTATCACTTCCTTTTCAGTTTCCAAACTCTTAGCTTTTCTCCCCTCCCATTTCCACATTTTGTTCATTCTACAAAACCAAAATGTACTTGATGAAAATGTTTACTATCTCCCCATTTTACTTGAGGGAAAGCTCTGCAGGCATTTTTTATGAGCATCTATCTGCTGTTTGTAGTACTCAGTACTAGATGCCAGTAACAAGTGGCATTCATCTTTTACAAAGTTCTCCTCCTGATTTCGTTCATTTGCAGTTCCTTCTCCCTGGAAAAAATCTTTCCAGTGCTTCCTCTCCATCTCAAGCTCCATCTTGCTGCACAATTCCTCCAAGCTAAATATCTAGTTATTTCTAATAATGGTCCTTGGTGAAGTCGAATAGTCAGAAATGTTAGCCACAGAAAATGAAGCAACTGTGTTTCCTCTTGTTATCTCAGGTGCAGAAAGCTTGTCTTTATCTTCTTTTCTTCTATTTTTGTATGTTTTTTATTGAATTTCTAAAACCCCATCACTGAGTTACACTAGTGTCAGAGAATAATGAGACATAGGGATTTTTTTCCCCCTAAATAAAAGACGCCCACGGCAGTGCTTTTCTGACTCTCCTCTACAGGAGATTGACTTGACCATCTCCCTTACCTCCTGAACCACGCCATTCTGCTTGTGGGTGACTATCACATACAGAAAGAAAATATTGATTCATTTCGTATTAAAAATGTCCATATGTGAAATATCAGTATTTACTATGTGCAGATGGGGCAGAGAGGATGCAGAAAAATGATGAAATGAGATATCTGGATTTTCTTGAATTTTAGCTCTCATTTCTATAAGATACAGTGACTGGCCATTCATGGAAGTCAGCTTTCCATCATTAAAGGTCATTGTCACAGACAGAACTCCAATAACAAAAGATAAGCTAACCAATGAGTTTGACCATAGTTTTATATGGCATAGGTGCCTTTGGATCCTGAAACTCCAGATAATTTATCCATTTTGTGCTTCTGTAATAATACATTGATAGGGACTCGATGAAGGCAGGGATACCGCATAGTCTGTGTTATAAAAGCACATCCATACTTCTTTTTTTTTTTTGGTCATTTTGAGACAGGGTCTCCCTGTAGCCCCAGCTCTCCTGGCAGTCACTATGTAGACCCGGCTGGCCTTGAACTCACAGAGATCTGCCTGCCTCTGCCTCCTGAGTGCTGGGATTAAAAGGGTGCACCACCTCGCCTGGCTTGTACTGTGTTCTTTAAGAAGGAGTCTACATGCACATGATAATGGTTTGTTTGCTGTTAGTTGACCTGCAATCTACATATCATCCACACTGACTCACGAGGAATGCCTTGGTGTTTTCCAACCCCCACCCCTCTGCTCTAGACAGAAGACAATTAAGAAAAAAATGAACCAAATCCATACATCTCAGAGAACAGACTCAACATTCGACCAGAGGGGCTAGAATAAACTTTGGAGTGACTGACTGCCTCCCTGTACAATCAGCTGATGAAAGATGAGATAGAAGACAGATCTTTAGGATTCTAACTCAACGGTCTTCTCAGATTGCTCCTCTCTGAACCAAACATAGCTTGAAGATTCAATTTCTAGAAAAAGAAAAATGAAAAAACAACAGAGAGTGCAGGATTCACCTTCTGTCTATGCATGTGCTACGCAGAGTCACCTGCAAGATGACCAGCCTTACAGAAATATGACTAGGGGAAATGACTGTAACTTAAGGATACTCTGCTCTGTGCAGCAGCCAGCAAGGTGCATCTTCACTTTCTTTGACCTCACTGTGGTATCCTTTCCTTCTGGGTATGTGCAGGACTCCTTAAATGACCATGTTGTATCCCACTTTGGACAAAGCAGGTCCTAGAATTTCTCTGTGGCTAGCTGTGAGACAAAATGGCGGAGAAAGATTAATCTTTTAAATGGGTTACTGCTTACTTTGGGGAAAAACTGGCTCTGGTTTTCTTGTACTGGGAAGAGAAATGCTAGTTTCTAGACCTTGTATGGGGAAAAGATAGAGCAAAAGACAGCTGAGTTTGAAAGCCAAAAAATAATGTTCGTTTGCTTTTTTTCCTCCCTAGAAAAAGATTTGTTTGGGCTGGAGAGATGGCTCAGCGGTTAAGAACACTGGCTGTTCCTGAAGAAGACCTGGGTTTGAATCCCAGCACCCACATGGTGCTAACAATCATCCGTAACTCTAGTTCCAGGGGATCCAACAGTTCTTCTCTCCTCCCTGGGCATTGAACGACATGAGTGTACCTACCTACATGCAGGCAGTACATAATACACATAAAATAAAAATAATGAATGAAAAATAAAAAATATTTTTATTATTTTTATTTTATGTGTATGAGGGTAATGCCTGCATGTAGGTAGGTGTACCTATGTGATGCAATGCCCATGGAGATTAGAAACGGGTGTCGGATCCTCTGGAACTGGAGTTAAGGACAGTTAACCGCCATGTTTGTGCTGGCCTGGAACGTTTTATGTAGACCAAATGTGACTTGAACTCAGAGAGACCGGCCTGCCTCTACCTCCCAAGTGCTAGGATTTCCAGCTGTTTCTGAATCTGCTTCTGGGATTAACTCATCATCATCATTATTACTGAGTTTTTGACCCAGGTCTCATCCATCCCATGAAGGTGTCAAACTGGATATGTAGCCAAGGATAACCCTCAACTTCTGATCTCCTGAGCCATCTCTCAGTCCCAGGATTACAGGCATGAGCTACCTCACTGAGTTCTAGGACTTTAACTTTGGGGTATGTTTTTTGTACAGGCAGACATGTAAGCCTGAAATGACTATGTAGAATAATGTGCCAATGGGCACATAGAAAATATGTGAATCACATGTGTGATCTTAACTGAATTCTGTCACACAACCCCGCATGGTTAGTCTTGCACTTACCATATCAAAAGGGCGAAGTGTCATGGGTTTTATTGTCTCATTGGGTGAAGGCTACTTTCTCCTACTCAGAGGAATAGAATCTGTTCTACCTCTGGCCCTGGGCACAAACATATTTTGATCTGCACCTTAAAACAGAACAACTGATAATTGCCTCCCTTACTTAAGAGTTATTCTAACTAGGCCTGTGGATCACCTGAACAGAATACCCCAGGCCAGAAAGGGTGATAAATCTGAATACATGTGAAAGACCTGGGAGGAGAGATTATCCTCTTGAGCAGATGGTGTGCTCATATGGTCCAGGAGTCCCTTTTTTAGGGGGTGGGGTGTCTTTTTTTGACACAGGGTCTCCCTGTAGCCCCAGCGGGCCTGGAACTCACTGTGTAGACTAGGCTGGCCTTGAACTCACAGAAATCCGCCTGCCTCTGCTTCCCCATTGCTGGCACTAAAGATCTGAGCCATCACGTTGGCCCCAGGTAGATTCTTACAGATACTCACTGCTAAGCCTGCCAGCTTTTCAAACCACAAACTCAAAAAGCATAAATTTTCCTGTTTCTTTCTCCTTAGTCGTAAGCATGTTTGCTCTGATGCTCTGGGGTTTCTTGCTGATTTTTTCTGGAGTTCCCTGCACACCCTTTCTAGCTGCTTGCTAACCCTCAGAGAACTTGGCCATTTTTCTTCCTCTTACCCAACTCCTTCCTCTTAGCAGCTGTCAAGATTTACATCTTACCTATCTTACCTGCCCTGCTTTTTCTATCAAGCCTTAAGAAATGCTTGGTCCTTCCTTATGAGTCCATTTGTAAATTTTTTTTTGGGGGGGGTTGTTTCTTTGGTTTTGTTTTGTTGGCACTGGGGATTCAACCTTGTGGGGTGGTTGATTCTCCTATACCTTTTCTTCTCTTGCCCTCCCTCCGAGAATGGCTCAGGCAGACAAGGAAAGGAAAACAAGGGGAACTTTATCTGCAGGAGTAACAATTCAAACAGGAAAGTAGGAATGCAGAGACCTTTGGTGGCAGTAAGGTGCCAACTGAGCGGGGTTGCAAGTGTTGCAGCTCTGTGCTCTTGCAGGCTTCTGAGTGCCAGCCTATAGAGTTTTGGCAAGTGGCACAACACTAAGCTCTTGGAGGGTCTCAGGACTGCCAACTGAATGCAGTTCTTTACAGAACAAGTCTGCAGAAAGTAGGTAGCTGACCAGAGTAGTAAGTCTCCTGCCTCTGGCAGGACTCAAAGGCTGAGGGAAGAACGGTGGATCAGTGGATCTTGAAGCGGAGCAGTGACTGAGGCAGAAACAGATTCCCTGAATGCGAAGTAGGAATAGAGTCTCTCAGAGCGTGAACGGTGGGAACTCCAGCAAGTTCCCTCATCAGAGGCATGTCTGCAAGTCTGTCTCTGGCATCCTAGTCTCCTACATCCCCAGCCGTTTTTGTTTGTTTTGTGTTTGAGTCATGTCTCTCTGTAGCACCAGCTGGTCTGGAAGTCACTATGTAGCAATTATTTTGCTTTTTTACACAAGGTCTCACTATATAGACCGGACAGGCCTCAAACTCAGAGCTGTCTGCTTCTGCCTTCCATGTACTGGGGTTAAAGCTGTGTGCCAATCACGTTTGCCTAAATTCTTTTATTCCTGAGATCAAGAACCTATCAAAGGGAACTCAGATCCCATAGTAATGCTATCCTTATGTAAATCTTTAAAAATAGTAGAAATAAGCTGGATGTGCGGACACTGATGGACCAGGATTTCTGGGTCATGCTCACCTAAATAGTTCATAAAATGAGCTGTAGTTTAAAGAAACAAATAGCTTTAAAAAACCAAATTTTTAGTACTTGCATATCCCCAAATGTAACATTATTTGGATGTTTGGAAAGGTGAAACGTTGTCAGTGTCCCTGCATTTATTGCACATCCTGTACCTAGTACTACAGAAAATAAAAAAAATCCTATTAACCCTATTTAGTCAACTATCAATACAAACTTGTCAAACCGTTGACACCTCTTTAGGTCCTAAGGCACTGGAGGACTGAATAATTTAAAATACATGATTTAGGTAATTTCCAACAACGTAATAGTATGTACAGCGATTTTGATTAGAATTACAATCTAAATAAAGGAGCTCCGGTACCCTTGTTAGACTGCACTACCAAGGCTTTTATTTGGTTTTGCTTTTTAGATGTGGGCTTCCTAATTCGGCCTCAAGCTCCCCAACGGGCAATATTCACGTCTCCACTACCATACTAAAACCTCAACGTATGCCAACGCGTGGGAAGGTTCCCAGGAACATTTAGTTGTGGTCCACGTGATGACACATGCAGTTAACCACAGGACTGGAAGGCCAGCCTGGTCCAGCGTCCAGAGTGCCAGGCTTGCTGGGCATACGGAGAGAACCAAAGCAGGCCAATTCCGATATAGCAAAGAGGCTTACTCGCTAACCGGTTAGAGTGATACGGCTCCTTCCGGACAATGGAGTTGGCTCTTAAAAGAGCCGTTTGTTTTACAGTTTGTGTGCATACCCAGACATTCAAGCCCTCTCCCCGCGGATGCGGCGCGCCAGCTGGATGTCCTTGGGCATGATTGTGACGCGCTTGGCGTGGATGGCGCACAGGTTGGTGTCCTCGAACAGCCCCACCAGGTAGGCCTCGCTGGCCTCCTGCAGCGCCATCACGGCCGAGCTCTGGAAGCGCAGGTCGGTCTTGAAGTCCTGCGCGATCTCGCGCACCAGGCGCTGGAACGGCAGCTTGCGGATCAGCAGCTCGGTGGACTTCTGGTAGCGCCGGATCTCGCGCAGCGCCACGGTGCCGGGCCGGTAGCGGTGCGGCTTCTTCACGCCGCCGGTGGCCGGCGCGCTCTTGCGGGCGGCCTTGGTGGCCAGCTGCTTGCGCGGGGCCTTGCCGCCGGTGGACTTGCGGGCCGTCTGCTTCGTGCGCGCCATGGCGAGGGGACCAGGGGCAGGCCAGGTGGCGCGGAGGCCCGGGTATTTATGCAGGAACCGAGCCACTCTGATTGGGTCCCGGCAATCGCTTCCAGGCTCCCGGCCCTAATTTGCGGAAGTGCTTGTAGCGGCTCAGGATTGGTCAATTCTTTCTGCGCGGATTCCGATTGTTCAGCATTGGCTGTTAGCCCGCCCCCTGGGAGGAAAAAAACCTGAGTTATAAAATCCTTTTTTTTTTTGCCTCTAACTTACACGTGAGACGGTTCACAATTAGTTCTGTGATCTATGTGAGTACTTTTGCCCTGCTGAAACGGGACAGAACAGGCTACAAGGACAAGGTGTCAGTGTTCACCCCCCTTCCGCCTTTTTTCTGCCCGAAAATTTCACTAGCTGGTTCTGACTAGTTTGGAAGCTGCACTGACTGTTACCTGAACGCGGTAGCCTGGCTGACTGATGCTCTCGTTCTCTCATCCGAGGCTCGAAACCATGCTGAGCTACACAAAAACTTTCCACTTTTAAGTATGGTTCATGCACCTCTGTTTCATCGCAGTTTAGTGGTTTTTTTTTTTGTGTGTGTGTGTGTAACTGTCTCAGTAGAATTCCATGTACACGCAAGGAAACTGATGGTGGCGTCGTTCTTTATCCTGAGGTTTGCTTAGCGCGCACTTTTGCTTTTTTCTGAATTTAATATCCATGCTGGACTACTAAGTCCCCACGCGTTTGAAATGTGAAACCTCGGTAAAAACTGGCGGCGAGGCATGTCCTGGAGGTTTCTTTGTGACTGCACTCAGTCGCCCCCATACCCAGGGCAGAGACCCAAGGCCTTCAGGGCAGAGCTGCTTTTGTCCACGTTACAGAATTCCTTTATTTTCAGGTCTAAACGGGACTGTTACAACTTACTTTCAAATTACAAAAAGGATGTGTGACAATAATAAAATCAGTCCACAGGAAACAAAATTCAGTGGATTCTCCACAGAGCTCATTTCTTTCCCGCGCTCAGAAAGTTGTAATATATTTTACAGGCTTTAAAATCTACTGGATTCTTTGGTCCACTCACAGTTACGGCTAGTCGATCCCCATCTGCACATTCCAGCTGCGCCTGGACCACCTTAGCGCTCTCCTCCTGTCCTGATTCTCCAGCTCCAAACTGAAATTCTATACTTCACCTCCCAAGTCTGTTATCACAGTCAGTTCGGTGTACTTTGTAAATGTTTTCCCATGTTTGTGATAAAACTTGCTCTAAATATGTCAGAAGCTGGCTGTGGTTTGCTTCAGGGAAACACTGGTGCGTTTGTATGCTGTCATGGGCAATAAGTGCTCTGTGGAACAGTAGCGCTGATTGCAACTATTTTTGTTTGGAGACTCCAGTTTAAATTCTTGTAACTGGCTTCTTTGTAGAGTGTGTCTCCCAAGACAATGATATGCATCTTAAAAACTGAAAGCCATTGGTGGGAGCGTTGGTGCCTGCCTGCCTGTAATCCTAGCACTTGGGATGTGGAGGTTGGAGGACTTGGAGTTAAAGATGGTCTTGGTTATTTAGTTCAAGGCCAGCCCTCACTGCACAAGACCAACCCCCTGCCCCTCCAAGGAATGCAAAGCTACATTTCATAAAGGTGACAAAATGTTGCCTGTGTAGGAGACGGCAGAATACATTTTGGGGAATGCCTTTTTTTGGACCTGAAAATTTCATGTTTTTATTAGTTTTGTGTTCTTCATTGCTAATTGTAGATTTTTAAAGAGAAAAAATCAAAACCTCCCTTTTTGTTCCTGCTTTTTTGTTTGTCCTTGAGGCTTCTGTTAACGCAGCCCTCCTCTCACGTTTCAGCGAATGCTCTGGACACCCTAATTTTGGCCTTGTTCACTTGTATAATTTAGTTTTGTATTTCTTGATTTCAGTGTTTGGGTACATTCAGATGTGTGAGGAGGAAAAGAAAGGTTCTTTTGTTCTGGGGTGCATGTCTGTCTTTAAAGTGTGCTGTTCGTGCTCACAAAGGAAATGACCTTGATGAACTGTTCTTGAGCAAACACAAGGTTTCAAAACTTGCTATTAAAATAGCTAAAAATGGGGCTGGAGAGATGGCTCAGCAATCAAGATCACTGGTTACTCTTGCAGAGGACCAAGGTTGGATTACCAGCAACCAACAGGCAGATGACAACTCCAGTTCCAGGTAGTCTGACGACCTCTTCTGACCTCCACAGGCACTGCATGACACGGGTGGATCTACCTACATGCAGGCAATACACACATATGCATAAACACATAAATAATAAACAAATAAATAAATATTAAAAAAAATAGCCACCAAGTATGATTCATGTTTGTGAGGCACAGTCTCTCTGCATACATGCAGTGTGGCAGACAGTGTCAAACAATGTTTCCACAACAGGGTCTCTGTTTCCTCTCCTAATTAGATGCAGGTTATCGAGGGTGTTGACTGGAGCTGAGGTCTTCTGGGTACTTGACTAGAGATCAGATTTCAGATTCTAAATTTAGTTAAAGCAGTTGTGGTTGTGTGTGTGTGTGTGTGTGTGTGTGTGTGTGTATCTGAGGGTTTCGTTTTCTTGCAAGGTAATAAAATGGTTCGTTTATTGTTTTATTGTGCCATGTTTGTTTTCTTGCAAGGTAATAAAATGGTTCGTTTATTGTTTTATTGTGCCATGAGTCCCCAGAGTTTACACATTTCCCTAAATCAAATTGATTACTACAGAAATACCATAACTATATATCTTCATTTTATCTCCTTGACTGAATCCTACAAGTAACAGTTACAGTCATGTTCACTTTAAAGTTCTGGATTACATAAGACTGAGGACAGTGTTTGCCACTCAGAATTCAATTAACCTGAAAATAGGAATGCATTTCAGACAGTGGAGGGGCACCAGATATTACCAGCTGCTTTTAAATGAATGGATCTCTGTCAAACAAGTATGTGAAAGATATAGGAGACCAAAAAAAAAAAAAAAAAAAAAAAAATCCATTTCCCTCTAACTCCCCATGTTTTCACCTGTTTTGGTGAATAATAATCAAGAGAAAATACAGTATGACTGACGATCCCTCAGCTATCAAGACCCAAAGACCTAACAGAATGCTTGATTTTCCAGAGCACTCATGTGTGAAAAAGTGGGATGGGATTGTTCTAAGGCAAGTCACCACGGAAAGGGAGGGGGAGATGTCAGTTTACAACTGAAGTTCCCATCTCGGGTGCTAACGTTCATCCTCCATGTGGTGGTTCAGTTCCTTCCTTGGAGGAAGAGAAAGGGGAAATCAAGGTGACTTTCTTTTTAATAACATTTTAATTTTATGTGTATGAGTCTATTGCCTAAATGTGTGGAAGCACACCCCTGCAATGCCTATGGAGGTCAGAAGAGGGCACCGGGAATCCTTTGGTATTGGAGCCCTGGTGCTGGGATTAGAACCTAGTTCCTCTGCCAGAACAGCCAATGCTCTTACCCACTGAGCCATCTCTTCAGTCCAAAGTGATTTTCTTAAAGCTTGTTTTTTTTTTTGAAACAAGGTCTCCCCCAGTAGCCTGAACTTTCTGTGTAGACCAGGCCAGGTTTAATCTCGCAGACATGTGCTTGCCTCTGCCTCCCAAGTAAGGGGATTAAGGCGTGTGAAACCACACCTGGAGTTTTACAGCACCGTTATTCAAGCGAGTGACTACACATAGTAAATAATTTTTATATTTAAGTCGACTGGGTGCTACAGTGTTTAAAAACAGCTGTGTCTCCACAGGGCGTTTGGTAACCAAACATGTTGACAGACACTACAACAAGGACTTTCCTACCTTGTAGTGCTAAAAAGCGTTGGGTCTCAGAAATCGTTACCGAATGACCAAATCAATTGATGCAGGACATCAAGTAGGTTTCTAGCTCCTCCAATTGAATAGATGGGTGGCCCTGAAAAGGGCCTTTGTGGGGACAGCGGTCCAAGCACATCAGCCGCCGAAGCCGTAGAGCGTGCGGCCCTGGCGCTTGAGCGCGTAGACCACGTCCATGGCCGTGACCGTCTTGCGCTTGGCGTGCTCCGTGTAGGTGACGGCGTCGCGGATCACGTTCTCCAGGAAGACCTTCAGCACTCCGCGGGTCTCCTCGTAGATGAGGCCGGAGATGCGCTTGACGCCGCCGCGCCGGGCCAGGCGCCGGATGGCGGGCTTGGTGATGCCCTGGATGTTGTCGCGCAGGACTTTGCGGTGGCGCTTGGCGCCGCCCTTGCCCAGGCCCTTCCCGCCCTTGCCGCGACCGGACATTCTGAGGAGACTACACACTAAAAACCTAAAGAAAGTAGCAATCTGAGAAAGAGCGTAGATTGTGCAGGTTGACGTTCGCCTTTATAGCGACTTGGCGGACCTCATTGAAAACCCCAAATGTGGGCGGTTACATGGAGGAGGAGGGCTGCCGCAGAACGGAAACAGTTCCGCCCAGGAATCCCAGAGCAAAACTTTGATGGCCGGTGGGGGAGGAGAACACAGCCTTTTTTGTCCTAGGATTTTCGTCATCTGTTTTAGGGCCTGCGAAAATTTGCGTTGACATGCATTTGAAAAGCAAACCTAAACTCCATGGATCCTGGCAAATTTTGGAAATCCCATTTCGACACATCCAGTCAAAGTGACTTTTTTTCCAAGTGAGTGGAGAGCTGAAAACATTTGGGTCCTATAGACTGATTTCTCCAAGATGTCAGTAGATGGTCATTATTTGAAATTCTGTGTTCATCCCCCTCTGCACAATACTTTCTTCAGGGAGCATTCTAAAACTGAGCTAATAGTTCATTAACCCAGACGGGGTCATTTTGTAACCCAGCTGGTTTCTCACTGAGCATCTCACTATGTAACTTGGGCTGTTCCTACCTCCCGAGTTCCAGGATTTGTAACAGGCCCAGGCTATCATGTCTGTCTGAAACTGATTCTTAAGCAATTAGTGTCCCCATGTTTTTCAGCCTCTGTAAGCAATATTGTTTCGGTAATTAAAAACTGAAGAAATCAATTGGGGAGACTAAACTTATTTCATGTAGAGCAAAATCCACAAAACCACTGACTCTTCCTGGGAAGTTTGACAAAGTGTAAGACAATCGTGGGTATTGTTGAGGCAGTACATACCTTTGATCACAGCACTTGGCTGGCAGATGTGAGCAGGTCTCTTGAGTGTGAGGCCATCCTGGTCTATATAGTGAGTGAGGTCCAGTCTATCCAGGGATTACCTAATGAGAATGTGTCTCAAAGAAAAACTAAACAACTCTTAAGAAGACCAGGAACAGTTAGCTGGGGGTTCGGGGGGGGGGGGGGGGGGGGGGGGGGGGGGGGGGGGTGGTGGTGGTGGTGGTGGTGGTGTCTAGCTAGAAAGTTGCAGAGTAGGGACACTAAATGGTCTCAGACATTGAAGTTGCTGATGCTTCTTGTGTTTTTATGTTTGTCTAGTTTGCTTCCACAGTGTCAAAAAAAATAGACTTGAAAACAAGGAAGAAGGGAAGGCTATGTGTTCCAGTATAAAGTGTTTCAATGCTGAATGGAGATTGCCGAAAGCTACTTCCCTTCCTCAGTATTTACTATTGGTTCATTGACTCAAGCTTACTAACCTCTTTTTTCAGTTGTAGAATATTAATTTTTAAGCAATAAAAATAGCTTGGTTTTATTAAAGTAGATGGGATTCCAAAGATTGGGACCTGTGAGATGGCTCATTGAGTGGGGCCGACTGGCTCTAACCCTGAGGGCCCGAGTTTTATCCCAGGGACTCATAGACTGGGAGGGAACCCACTCTGGAAACAAACACCTTTTTCTGTGAGCTTCATACCTTGGCATGAGCTCAATCATGCTGTACAACACACACAAAATAAATACACAATGTAGCAATGAGTACAAAAAAAGTTGCCTACACTTTTAATCCTGGCTCTTAGGAGGCAGAGGCAGGGGGATGCCTTTGAGATCAAGGTCAGCCATGGCTACAGGGAGACCGTGTCTCAAAAAACTGAAGCCGAAACTAAAAACTCCACAGATTCCTTGCACATGGACAGTTACTGTTTTTCATGCCAATTCAGCAATATTATCTTTATTTTTCACAGTTCTTTAACATTTTTGGTTTCTGAAATCTATGAGAATCACAGCTTTTTTCCTCAGGAAGCTAAACAAACTTTTTGATGATTATATTTTAAAATTAAACTATTATAAGATTATGAATTACTGTACAGGCTAGAAATGAGAAATTGGTGTGGCCAAGGTAGAAACATGAATAAAAATAACAATTTTTTTTTGCTTCATTATATGTAGGCCAACAGAGAGGTTAAGATACATGTTTTCACGCTGAGCCTGGATCACTAATATCTTGATGTTTGTGATACTTTTAGGAAGGGTACTTTCCTTAGCTTGTGGGTTGGGCAATCTCTGATTAGTCATGAAGGTGAGAGCCTCTTTCCCTTCCCCTTTTCTGGGGCTCATTAACCTTCTCCTTTCTTCTTATTCTGCTTCAGTTTACCACTTTAAAATAATGAGATAAAGAAAAATGCCCTTTGACTTGGTTGAACGCAGAGTGGGCTAGGATTGCTCTGGCCCCTTCGCATTGCTTAGGTCTGGGACATTGACCCCAGCCCCCCTGTGATAATTTGCACATGGGAAACCTGAACGTGCAGACAGAACAGCTAAAGATTCATGAGATCTGGGCTTTGTGAGGACGGCAAAAGGGTTCTGGTCAACAGAGCAGCTTTAAACTTTGTTGAGTAATATTCCAGTTTTGGAATTAAAGCAAAGGCTGGAATGGATTTCCTCTGTTATCCCGTGAAAGCCGGCCTGAAAGACTTGCTGATAGTTCTGATGGACATTCTAGGAGGGTGGGCTTTTACTTTATTTATTAAAGCTCCATATCTGTGCATTTAGATATTTAATTTGTAAGATATAGGTTAATACAATTTAGTTTGTTCATTTCAGAGTCCATTACTTCTGTCCCATTGAAAAAAATAACCCAAAGTTTGTAATATAATGGTCAAAGAATAATTGTCTCTGATAAAAATTTGCTTGTTTGACCATATTTCAACTTTTCATTACACAAAACCCTTATATATTTGATATTTTTAAAAAATTTATTATTTTTATATTTTATGTGTATGAGTGTATTGCCTACATGTATGTGAGTGCACCCGTGTTGTGCGATGCCTTGGAGGTCAGAAGAGGGTGTCGAATCCTGTGGGACTGGAGCTACAGATGATTGTTAACCACCATGTGGGTGCTGGGAATTGAACCCAGGTCCTCTGCAAGAGCAGTCAGTGCTCTTAACTGCTGAGCTAGCTCACCAGCCCCGATATTTATTCTTTTGATAATGTTCTTTTGATGCTGGTGTTTCAAGAGTTGTGAGCCACCCACCCAACACTGGTGATGGGATCTGGACTTGGGTCCTGTTGAAGTACAGCTAGTGCTTAACCTCTGAGCCAACCATCCAGACCCAGTGCAAGAATGCTCTTCATGTATTTCATGTATCCATCCATCCATCCATCCATCCATCCATCCATCCATCCATACATTGACAGGGCCGCCATAACCTTGACTTCCTGGAACTTAACCCAGATTAGCATCGAACTCACAGCAATCCTATCTCGTTGGCCTCCTTTGTGCTAGAATTACAGGCCCTAATCACTGCCAGGGATGGGAATGTAATCGAAATGGTTTCTAGGTACTGATTATGGAAGGGTTCTATTGACAAGATGGATCTCTACACTTATATTTATAAAGTTTATTGTAGTTACCAGTACAATCACTGGGGGAAGGGGGTTAAATTTGTAAGGCCTCACTTACCTACAAGCAAACACCCTGCCTTATTTCATATGGAAAAAAATGTCTTTTTAGGCATTACTTTATCAAAGATTAAAATGCAGAGAATCAAGTTCTGCCTGTTCTTCAGCTGCTTGGATTATTTTACACTTTCCTGTGAACGTGTTACATATACAGCGAGTGCAAACACTGCTGTAAATACCTTAGAACTTACTAGACTATCTATTCTCACCCTCACAAGACAGTACTGCACCCTGAAGTGGCCATTCTACAAAAAACCGTGACTGTATAACATAATCTGGAGGTTGCACAGAGGCAATTTACATTTAAAGTGGGACTTCAATTTCATTTGTAAAAGTCCTAAAAAATTTCAGAATGCCAGCACTTTACTGAGAAGGTGAGTGGCTCTGAAAAGAGCCTTTGTTCTAAAACGGTTCCGGCTTATTTGCCCTTGGCCTTGTGGTGGCTCTCGGTCTTCTTGGGCAGCAGCACGGCCTGGATGTTGGGCAGGACGCCGCCCTGCGCGATGGTGACGCGGCCCAGCAGCTTGTTGAGCTCCTCGTCGTTGCGGATGGCCAGCTGCAGGTGGCGCGGGATGATGCGCGTCTTCTTGTTGTCGCGGGCCGCGTTGCCCGCCAGCTCCAGGATCTCGGCCGTCAGGTACTCCAGCACGGCCGCCAGGTAGACCGGGGCGCCGGCGCCCACCCGCTCCGAGTAGTTGCCCTTGCGCAGCAGCCGGTGCACGCGGCCCACGGGGAACTGCAGGCCGGCCCGGGACGAGCGGGTCTTGGCCTTGGCGCGCGCCTTGCCGCCCTGTTTGCCGCGTCCAGACATCGTAGAAATAAAGCTATAAGAGTCGTTCCAGCCTACACCCAAATACTCGCTGCAGATGAATTTATAGTCAACGCAGGGCGCGAAAAGTGAGCGATTTCATTGGCCAGGATTTAAATATTCACTTAAGCCAATGGCATCGTATGTTTGGAAGATGCCTATTTTGATTGGGTAGCGTGTAGATGACGTTTCCAGATGCGCCACATAGCTTAGGCACAACGTTGCATAAACTACAGCTGGAGCAGAGACTATCTTATCACCACTTTGGCTTGGCAGTTTCCTCTCCTTTTCTACCATGCCCGAGCCCGCGAAGTCAGCGCCCGCCCCGAAGAAGGGCTCCAAGAAGGCGGTGACCAAGGCGCAGAAGAAGGACGGCAAGAAGCGCAAGCGCAGCCGCAAGGAGAGCTACTCGGTGTACGTGTACAAGGTGCTGAAGCAGGTGCACCCCGACACGGGCATCTCGTCCAAGGCCATGGGCATCATGAACTCGTTCGTCAACGACATCTTCGAGCGCATCGCGGGCGAGGCGTCGCGCCTGGCGCACTACAACAAGCGCTCGACCATCACGTCCCGGGAGATCCAGACGGCCGTGCGCCTGCTGCTGCCTGGGGAGCTGGCCAAGCACGCCGTGTCCGAGGGCACCAAGGCCGTCACCAAGTACACCAGCTCCAAGTGAGCGCGCGCAGCGCCCTGAACCCAAAGGCTCTTTTCAGAGCCACTCATGTCTTCACTTATAGAGTAGTAGCACTTTCATATCGTCTTTCAGAAATTCAGCAGAACAGCATGTAAAAACGTCTTGTGTATGTGGAGTGTTTACTTCTATGGCTTGCCCTAACTTTTAGCAAGCTTTAGCGATTTAATGTTTCCCTTTATTATGATTTCAAGCCGTACAGCAAATAGCCCACTACTTTTGAGGACCTGCTACATATAATGGATTCAGTCATGCAGTTTTCTCAGCTTTCAAGTACTTAAGTTTCGGAGGGTAATGTGGTTGCTGTGGATGTGGAAGACGGTGTTGACCTTCCTCAATCCTGACTTATGTTAACGTACACAATATGGTTTTCAGCAATTGTGTGGCATCCCGTGCCTAATTTTGTGCATAATGAGGTTTACAGCCTTTTGGTCTCTTGATTCCAGGTTGTTCCTTCCGTTTATCTGCAAATAAGTCCAATGTCAGTCCCTCTCAGTGTAGTCCGCCCTGCAGTGAATGGAGAAGCTGGACGCCGTTATTTTGTTCCTCCGTCCCACGTCGTTTTTGTTTTTATTAAAAAGTCAAAATCGACTAAGGATTGTCAAAAAAGCTAGACTGCGGAGAAACTGGAGTCATGGGACATGTGAGAGGTTGCCAGGAAGGATGGAGGTATAGGCATGCATCTTCGAAAAGACCCGCCCCTTATGGAGATTCTGGTATGAAGGCTGGAATCAGGTGCCATGAAAGTGCTCAGTGGAGAGGACAATTGCTTTTTAACTTGTCCAGCTTCGGGGTGAAAATACCCAGCCCATATGGTTATATTCTCTATTGCAAAAATAAATAAATAAATAAAACCATGTCCAGCCTTGGAAGGCAAAAGAAAAATGAGGAGGAACCCAACAGAGGAATGCTTTTGGAAGCTCTTGTCAAGAAATTCCAATGGACTCTCATATGAACATTTAAAAATTGCCATTCTTTTTTCTTCTTCCCTGTCTAGAACTTGTAATGCTAATTACTCTTGCCTTTACTTCTTCACATCCCCTATTCACAATTCAAGGACTTTCTTTTCCCCCAGAGATAAGAGTTATGCAATTTGGGAGTCTTTTAGATAGACCCACTGAAGGGGTACTCCAATTGCCTTACCCTGCATCCCTGTTCAGCATGGAAGAAACCAGAGCAGTCTGCATGCCGATTCCCTACTGGCAATTTGGGTAACCTCTTCAGAGGATGGTGTGATAAGAATAGGAGGTAGGAATTGGCTAGGTAGTTAGTGTAAAAAGACCCCAAAGAAAAGTAATTAGTTTCTTGGCTAAAACTCACAGTGTGAGTTTGGGCCTCTTAGCAACATAGTCCGTTCTAAAGGCCAAAAACATCGAAAATATTTAGGAGCTTTTATCTAATCCTTAAAAGTATTTTAGGGTTGCCTCTTCAGCAGGGAGGGGGGGAGGAATTATAGAGTAGCCAAAAGCCCCATTAAAAAAAAATCAATCAATCAAAGAAGAAAGTACAGAAGTTATCAGAAAGAAGTGATAGAGAGATAAGGGAGGAGTTGGAGGGGAGGGAGTGGGCATGGATTTGCGTAAAATATCTTATATGCATGCATGAAATTCTAAATAAGTTATTTATTTTAAAAAATGAATCCATGTATTTATTTTTGGGATTGTATGGGTGTCTGTTTTGCAAGGTTGACCTCTTAGGCTACAAAAGTAGCAAGCTGCAAATGAGGAATCAGACATGTCGGTCAATTACCAATTTGTTTCACTTCCAGAATGTTCCTTAGGCACCTGGAATTGCCTTCCTTGCACCCACTGAAAAATCTGATGCTGGGCCCCTGAAACCCAAGGCTCTAAGTCTTGTGTCCCCTGCCTGCTGTGTGGCTCCTGTGCTGTCTGCTGTCTCAGGCACCATCTTTGCCTTTCAGGGTTCTAACACTAGTACAACATTTTGAGGGTTTTTTTGGAAGGTCCCTGACTTTATTGATCTAAAAAAGACTTTATAAAGACAGTGACTTTTCTGCTTTTTTTTTTTTTTTTTTTTTTTTTTTTTTTTTTTTTAATGAAGCCAAAAGATGAGGGAAGGAGGAAATTGAAGGACCAGGAATTCACTCAGGAAATTGGTAACTGTTGCCATGGAACTAACTACAGGGGAGGAGGGGAGGAAGGTCAATGCATACAAGGACAAGAATTCCAAAGAGGTTGAAATGTTGAGGGAAGAGAGCTCCCAGGACAAGGTGAAGTGCAGAACAGGTGTGTGTGAGGACAGCAGTCTTTGCCTTTGTGGAAGACAGGAAGGAACCCTTCATTGCAAACACCAGAGACTGGATGCTGGGTTGTGGGGGAGGGGAACTCAAAGGTCACAAGAAGGCATCACACCATTCTCAAAAGCACCCAAAGCAGTACCAGGACTGGTTGCCATTGGCACTACACGTGTCCTCCAGCCATTCCCGGAGAGTCTAACACCAGAACCTGCCAGGGTTCCCATCAGTCTTTCCAAACCCCTGTCTTCCAGCTCCTGAGGGGCCTAGGTCTTCACCAGTCTGCACCAGGCTCCACACTGGCTTCCTCTGGGTTCTGCCTCCTTGTCATCTTGATCAGGCTTCACTGGCAGCTCCTGCCCTGGTAATGGCTCTAACATAATGTCCTAGTTTGTTTCTTCATTCCTATGACAAAACACTCTGACCAAAACCAACTTGGGGAGGAAAGGGTTTATTCAGCTTACATCTTCAAGGTCACAGTTCATCGGGGAGCCCAAGGTAGGAACTCGGTGAAGGAACCTGGATGCAGGACCTGGAGCACAGGCTGTGGAGGATCACTGCTTACAAACTAGCTCCCCTGGCCCCTGCTCAGCCTGCTTTCTTATGCAACACAGGCCCACCACCCACAGTGGGCTGGGCCCTCCCACATAATTCAACAATCAAGAAGATGCCCCATAGACATGGCCACAGGCCAGTCCTATGGAGGAAATTCCCCAATTGAGGCTCCCTCAACCCAGGTGTGTCAAGTTGACACTAAAGTTATCCAGCACATATAACTTTTAGTAGAGATAATTATCTCTATAAAAAAATACCTAAAGAGTTTCTGGTTTCCTACTGGGTTATTTACTGGCCGATTAATTGGCCTCCCTAGGTACAAAAGTCTGTTTCTGTTTATAATAATGTGTTTGCTTGTTTGATTTCCTGTTTTCATCTGTGATCTAGTTGGTCACTGTCAGTGTTGATGCAGAAAGCATTTATCCCAAAAGCCAGGAAAGTTGGTATGAACTTTAGTGCATCATATAAGCCTCGCTTAGACTAATTAAAGCTTTCGTTTTAGCTGACTGAGAACCCTTAGCATTATTAAGGGGTCTGGGAATTTACATCAGTGGTACAACAAGTAGCTAAACATGAAGGAAAACAAGAGCCCAGGGGTTCTACCCAGAGACAGAGGGAGATGGGGGAGAGGGAGCAGGGCTAGGGAGGCAGAAGGACTTGTGGAATCCACAAAGAAAAGAGATGTAGTCTAGTTTAGTCCTTAATATATGCAGAAATAAGTCCTAAAAGCTGAAGATTTTTGTTGCTGTTTTAGTGGAAGTAGACTACATCTTTAAAAGGTATGGCACAGAAAATAACAGATGGTACTTGAATTCTGCCACATAAATGGATATTGTTTCTCATACTTTATTGTTTTCTTACAAGGAGAGAAAATTATTTTACTTGATTAACTTTAATTTTTATTTTACATGTATGAGTGTTTTACAGGTATTGCACAATGCCTGCAGAGGCCAGAAGAGGGCATCAGATCCACTGGAACTGGGGTTATAGACAGTATTTAGCTGCCATGTGGATGCTGGGAACCAAACCCAAGTCCTCTGCAAGAACAGCCAGTGTTGTTCTAAACCTCACTGAGGCATCTTTCTAGCCTCTATTAATGTTTTTAAATATAATAGTTACCGTGAAAATGAACAGTTTAGAGTGGTTTATTATAGTGTGATTATTCATGGACCTTTTTGAGTAAATTATTCCATCAAAATTCTTTTCTAATAAAATGATGCAGAATTTTTAATACATTGTATATATTAGTCACAAGTCATATCACAAACAAATATAGGAACTGCTGGTCCTAGAAACCAGCCATTCTGCTGTATGCAAAGTCAGACACCATAGCAGCCCTAGAAGTTAGCTAAAAGAAAGGAATTGCTAATGCTGATGAAAATGTAAGTGTGAAATTATATGAGCCTATGGTTTCTTTAATTAAATACAACTATAACTTTAATGTGTTCACACTTAAATTTAAATATATAATAGCTATAATTATCCTAAATAACATTACTGAATGAATTAATCAGTAATTTTCTATTGTTTAGTTGCCCAGAAAAATGCAAATTTATATTTAATTTTGTAAATAGGGAATTTTTTTTATATGTCTCACTGAACTAAAGTCAAAGTACTAGGGAGCTTGAGAGATGGTTCAGTGGTTAAAAGCACCGACTGCTCTTGCAGAGGACCCAGGTTCAGTTTCCAGCCGCCACATGGCAGCTAACAACTGTCTGTAACTCCAGTTCCAATGCCCTCTATTTAAGTGTACTGCATAACACGTGTACACTTAAATGCATGCAGGAAAACAGACACATAAAGTAAAATTCACAAAAAGAAAAAAAAATTAAAATAAGAGTGCTGGCTTGATTTTTTAACTAAACGGTTGAAGAACTAAAATTGATATCAAGCAAGGCCTGGTGGCACATGAATTTAATCCCAGCACTCGGGAGGCAGAGGCAGGTGGATCTTTGTGAGTTTGAGGCCAGCCTGGTCTACATAGCGAGTTCCAGACCAGCTGGGGCTATAAGGAGACCCTGTCTCAAAAAGACAAAAAAAGAAAAATGAGGAGGGGGCTGGGCAGATGGCTCAGTGGTTAAGAATACTTGCTGTTCTTCGGGAGGTTGGGTTCAATTCCCAACACCCATATGGCAACCGACAACCATCCATAGCTCCAATTCTGGGGGATACCCTCTTCTGGCCTCTGCGGGCATTGCATGCATGTGTACCTACATGCATGATGCAGGACATTCATACACATAAAATAATACAAATGATAAAGAAAATTGGTTTCAGTTCTTAACAACCCTTTCTGGGCAGAGGATCTCTTCTCTTCAGTTTCAAAGTGAGTGATTCTCTATTTTTTTAAAATATGTGTGAATATAATGTCTCCATGTAAACTTGTGATACAGTATACCTGTGGCAGTCAGAATAGGGCATTAGATTCCCCTGGAACTGGAGTTATGGACAATTGTTAGCCACCATGTGGGTACGGGGAATCGAACCCAGGCCCTCTGCAAGAACAGTGAGTGCTCCTAACTGCTGAGCCATTTCTCGAGCCCTGTAAATCTCTATTCTAATTCTCTCTCCCACAGACAACCTGCCAATGAATCCAGGAGTTGTAAAGTGGGCAGGATCCTAATGGAGTGGCTGTACCTGCCTGGGAGCTGATTCCTACTCAGGAAAGGTGGAATGAAGTAGGGCATAGGTTCAGATAAAATTCACGAAGTTCCTGTGCTTCCCTAAACCTTATATAGACTTCAGATGTTTAATTCTAAAAATACAGAAAACAAAATTTGAGCCTCGAATAGTGGTACCTGTAGTCCCAGGGATTGGGAGGTAGAGGAAAGAGGTTCTGGAGTTCAAGGTCAATTTTGGCTACTCTAGGCCCTGTATTTAGGGGGCTGGGGGGGCAGAGAGATGGAGTAGGGAAAACATAAAAGTCACATAGAGCTACTACTTTTCACTCCAGATTGTATTTCTTGTGTGTTATGTGGATGACTCTCTGCTGCATTTTAGTTGTATATTGGAAATGGAAATTTTTCATATTTCTGATAGAGGCCATACTATACAGCTATTTGACTGGATTGAAATTGAAAAACATTTATGCTGTTCACAACAGTTTATAACCTTAACCTAAAGTTTTTAATCACAGCAGTTATAAATTTTCATTATGATTTTGTATCTACATAGAACATAAAATTAGTGTTTGTATCTTAAGTAACATATTGTCTCATACACCAACTTCTTTTTCTCTGTGTAGGCTGCTGTATACTTTTTTACACCGCTGCAGATACACTTGCACCCACACCCAAATAAACTGCTCCTGCACCTTCACGTGCGAGCCGAAGACTAAGAGATGCGTGCCACCCTGCGCTCCCGTCACTTTACATGAATCCCAACTCCCGGTACTCTGCACGCCAAGGTATACAATGTGCCATGCCCAAGGCACAACCCTGAAATTTCCCTGGCGCCAATAGCAGCCATATTTCTTCCCTGCTCAGCCAGAATGCTCAAAAGTGATTAAGAGGTGGTAAGTATTGTAGTAAAGGATGGCCTGGGGCTAGATGGGCAAGAGACTAGAGAAACACAGCAAATATTTGAGAGCAAAGATTTTTCCATCCAGGCGTGGTGATGGTCACTAAATCCCAACACACCAGAAATAGGAGATTGAGCTCAAGATACCCTAGTCTATACTTCCAAGCCAGCTGGGGTTACAGGGAAAGTCTCAAGTAACAGAATCATTACAACACTTTTTAAATGAAATCTTAAGTGGCTCTGAAAAGAGCCTTTGGGTTCAGAGCGCTGCGCGCACTCACTTGGAACTGGTGTACTTGGTGACGGCCTTGGTGCCCTCGGACACGGCGTGCTTGGCCAGCTCCCCGGGCAGCAGCAGGCGCACGGCCGTCTGGATCTCCCGGGACGTGATGGTCGAGCGCTTGTTGTAGTGTGCCAGGCGCGACGCCTCGCCCGCGATGCGCTCGAAGATGTCGTTGACGAACGAGTTCATGATGCCCATGGCCTTGGACGAGATGCCCGTGTCGGGGTGCACCTGCTTCAACACCTTGTACACGTACACCGAGTAGCTCTCCTTGCGGCTGCGCTTGCGCTTCTTGCCGTCCTTCTTCTGCGCCTTGGTCACGGCCTTCTTGGAGCCCTTCTTCGGGGCGGGCGCTGACTTCGCGGGATCCGGCATGGTACCAAACGACAGAAAACGATGCTTACCTAAGAGTAGAATAGGAAGGCTCCCTACTGGCTGGGCTTTTATAGAGGGTCTATGCAAATAAGGGTGTCAAGAACAGCCTACATTGATTTGAAAAAACATTAGTGACGACATTATGCAAATATGATTGCACCATGTCTCTTCTATTGGCTAGAGAGCAAAACATAATTTTAGCCAATCAAAGCTCACTATTTCCACTTCCACTTAACACTATAAGTAGCTTGTTCTTGCACGCCAGAACCAGAACTTCCTAGTTCTTCTGTTTTCATTTGTTCCTTTCTAGTAATGTCCGGACGCGGCAAGCAGGGCGGTAAGGCGCGCGCCAAGGCTAAGACCCGCTCGTCCCGGGCTGGCCTGCAGTTCCCCGTGGGCCGCGTGCACCGGCTGCTGCGCAAGGGCAACTACTCGGAGCGGGTGGGCGCCGGCGCCCCGGTCTACCTGGCGGCCGTGCTGGAGTACCTGACGGCCGAGATCCTGGAGCTGGCGGGCAACGCGGCCCGCGACAACAAGAAGACGCGCATCATCCCGCGCCACCTGCAGCTGGCCATCCGCAACGACGAGGAGCTCAACAAGCTGCTGGGCCGCGTCACCATCGCGCAGGGCGGCGTCCTGCCCAACATCCAGGCCGTGCTGCTGCCCAAGAAGACCGAGAGCCACCACAAGGCCAAGGGCAAATAAGCCGGAACCGTTTTAGAACAAAGGCTCTTTTCAGAGCCACCCACTTAGTCCTTAAAAGAGCCCGCTTTTTGCATCTTTTGTCACCTTTAATCTGACACTGGATCCTTAAAAGCGTATGTAAAAAGTTTAAGACTACCATTTCGTAGCTATGCAGGACTGAAAATTGCAATAGTTTTCAAATATGTGATGCCACCGTCTGGTCTGACTGGAGTTATTTGGCTCTTTAGGTCCCCATCCAGTTTTCTCCATGGACACCCCTGTCCCGTTGATAGTTTTCAAGTTTTGCTCAATTTTTATTCTACTTTTAAGTATATTCTCAGAAGTGGACTTCTGCGACTGAGCGACTTGATTGATCTGTGCTCAGATTACCTCAGATCAAGGTTGAACGAAAGTCTGGGTTTTTGTTTCCTGCCAGTTTTAGTTATTCCACAAGGAAAAGTACACATTTACCAACGTTAAAAGAGGGCCCGAAACCGGCAGTAGTGGCGCACGCCTTTAATCCCAGCACTTGAGGGGCAGATTAAGGCGGATCTCTGATCGAGGCCAGCCTGGTCTACAGAGTTCCAGGCCAGCTGAGGCTGCGGGGTCAATGTAAATGGTCACAATAAATTTAAAACAACACTGATTTAGAAACAAAGCTCCCCCATACACACATTTAAATTTTGATGTGAAGTTGGCTTTTCTGGTGATCCAGGAAGACAAACATCGCTTGACCAATCATGTGTAGCCCGCGCCTTTCAAAAAGTTGATGGGAGTTTCTGGCGCAAAAATTTGAAAATGTTAGTAAGCAAACATTCTAACAAGTGGCAAACCGTGTGCGAGACCCGGACTGCTTTTCTCTGGCGTAGGCATTACTCATCGTACCGGAGAAAGGCTGACGAGGTCCTAGGAAACTGCTTGGCCTAAAACTGCAAGGGCGGTGGGGGGGGGCAGCTTGCGGTGATGGGGAAGTGAAATCCACCACCAATGAGGTCGCTGCGCTAATGAGCAAGTGCTCCAATCAGAACGAGACTCGTTTTATATATATACGCAGGTAAGAGGGTGTTAGATTTCAGTATACAGAAGCTCCTGCTTTCCGTGGTTCGCTATGGCTCGAACCAAGCAGACGGCCCGCAAGTCCACCGGCGGCAAGGCCCCGCGCAAGCAGCTGGCCACCAAGGCCGCCCGCAAGAGCGCGCCGGCCACCGGCGGCGTGAAGAAGCCGCACCGCTACCGGCCCGGCACCGTGGCGCTGCGCGAGATCCGGCGCTACCAGAAGTCCACCGAGCTGCTGATCCGCAAGCTGCCGTTCCAGCGCCTGGTGCGCGAGATCGCGCAGGACTTCAAGACCGACCTGCGCTTCCAGAGCTCGGCCGTGATGGCGCTGCAGGAGGCCAGCGAGGCCTACCTGGTGGGGCTGTTCGAGGACACCAACTTGTGCGCCATCCACGCCAAGCGCGTCACCATCATGCCCAAGGACATCCAGCTGGCGCGCCGCATCCGCGGGGAGAGGGCGTAAACAGATACGACTAGTGACCGCTGAACCCAAAGGCTCTTTTCAGAGCCAACATCTTTTCTACAAAGGAGCTGTGTGTTCCTCTTAGCCTCAGTAGAAACCGCGCAGCGCTAACTGGTCCTGTAAAAGGCTTCTTATGGCATGGCATGGCATACCTGTTTTAGTATTGTCTAGGGTTGATTAGGTTCTTGGCCACTTTTCTTTAGGGTCAGGTTATTTCCTAGAGGTTGGATTTGGTGGTCTTTGCTTTGGGGTTTTACAGTGGCCCACTAGTTTCTTTGAACTTGCCTGTTCCTTCGAATTTCAGTATCCCAAAGCTGGCTTTAATTTGACTTTAGATTCTCCTGCCTCGTGTGTGCAGAGATGATACAACAGGCTAACTAGTGTGAGGTGAAGAGTGAGCTGAGAATCCCAAAGCAGACGTCATGCTGTTGTGCCTTGCACCCTGACAATTGAACTGTCACACTTGGTCTGTTAGATCAACCAGCTAGCACCCAAACAGGGCCCACCAGGCCCCTCTTACAGGCTTATCAACAAATGGGGTGTTCGAGTAGCAAAATGAGCTGTATGTATCACACTTGTCCTTGATCCCAGCAGAACTAACATATAATTTTCTTTGTGTAATAGTCAAGCTGGGTATAATAACGGAACAGCAATAAAAATATAAAAACAAATAGCCGTTGGGTAAGACACCAGCTCAATGTAAGTCATCTTTTGGACTGCCATGGTAAGTGTGCTTGTGCTGTACCCTCACGGTGTCCATAGGCAGCAGGTGAACTGTTGAGACATGACAGTGAGGGACATCTCAGGAACTGGGGGCTCCAGAGTTCACCTTCCCTGTGTCCTTCACATCAGAAAAGCCACCCAGCTGCACCACTACCCTGCTATCCTCAGATGGAGAAGTGATTATCCTGCCCAGACTCATTCCATTTGCACATAGTGTAGCCCTGAAGCGCTCCCTTCGTGAAATATTCTCCCAGAAAAGCCTAGACTATCATGATGACTTTAAAAATGATTAGCATTGCAGGCTGAGGACAGTCTTGGTAAGGTGATGGTCCTCATATAGATGACAGTTGTTGAAAACGTGAGAACTAACGGAAAAAAGGAGAAAAGGAGAGCAGGGAAGAAATGATCTCATGGCATTCCTGGGACAAGCAAGAATTTGTATGGGAAGATCAAGTCTGGGCAAAACTCCTCAAAGTAAAAAGAAATGGCCAGTTGATGCGTTGGCAAACAGAAACTCTTGCTGAATTTGATCCTAGGATCCCAGAGTAGAAGGAGGGAACTGACTCCAGAAAGTTGCCCTTCGACCTCTACAGGTACACTGTGACACATATGCCTATACACACACATACACACACACACACACACACACACACACACACACACACACACAAATTTAAAAATAAAATAGCCTAGACCTGCCTTGATTAATGCATGTCTCAACCTCAGCAGAGAAGCTTCCTTATACAGCAGATGGTGATTAACAGAGAACCACAACAGGCCAACGTGCAGAGAACAAGAGGCTGCAGGGTGCTCATCCCTGAACAGGACGCCTGGACCACACTTCTGTCTCCCAAGACTCATTGCAGAAGAGGAGGCAGAAAGATCGTCAAGAGCCAGAGGAGGTGGATGACCCCAAGGAAACAGAGTTTTCCAGACAGCTGATCAGTTACTCATATGAACTCTTAGCAATGGTGACACAGCATGTACTAGTGCCATGTGAGCTCAAGCTAGACAAAATTCCAGCATAGATGTGGGGAAGTAGGTAAGAAACCCCAACTCTACCTGAGGAGCTATTGACAATCAATGGCTCCTGAGAAGGGGAGAATCAGTCTCATTCAAGAGTGAGACCAGGGTGACCAGATTCCTGTGGATAAACCACACTGAAGGGTATTTGGGGGTCACAAATGTGGCTCTATAGGTTGTGTGTGTGTGTGTAGAGAAATTTGGTGGGAGGTTAGTAAGGGGGTTGCAGATATGGGAGGTGATCTGAATATGATCAAAATATAATTGTACGAAATTCAAAAAAATTGATAGAAAAGGAAAAGAAGACATATGCAAAAACAGCGGAAACAAATACAGCGGTGCTGTAGACGACTACCCTCAGGTAGACAGAGACCATCTTCCCAAGCTTGGTGGGGTCTGCTCGCGTAAGGTCATCAGACCTGAGGTTGTTCACTGTTGGGCCGGAGAGATAGCTCAGTGATTAAGAACACTGAGTGCTCTTTCAGAGGACCTGGGTTCCAGTCCCAGCATCCACAGGGCAGCTAACAACCATCTGTAACTGCAGTTCCAGGGGATCCAAAGCCTTCTTCTGACCTCTGCAGGCATTGTAGGTATGTAGGTGCACTTATATACATGCAGGCAATATACTCATACACACAAAATAAAAATAATGAAAATACAATTTTAAATAGCTGAGCTTGTTCACTGTTTACCACCCAGCAAAGAAGGGAGGAGCAGGAAGAGTCATGAGACCCTCACCTGGAAGTCCAGCCACACCTCCCAACCAACCAGTCCACTCTAGTTGTAAGTAGCCTGGGGCGGGGCTAAGACTGTATGAGCTGGGGAAACTGAGGCCAGGCTCTCCAGTCATTTTGTGTGGTTACGGGGAAGCCATCATCCAAGCTTGGATGAGGACTTTCTGGTGTAGCCTTAATGTGTGTATGTGTGTGGGGGGGTCAACTCCCAAACTCCTTTAATAACCCTTCACCTTTTACTTTGTAAGTAAGTCCATTAAACTCACTGGTGTCCCAGGCTGCAGTCTGGTGAAATCATAATTTGGTTTGTCATTGAGACAAAGGGAGGTAGGTGTTTACATGGCCCCTGTCACCCCTACAT